ATTTTTTGGTAAATAATTGTTTTATTGAATTGAAAGTGGTTTAAAAAACAAGGAATTTCTAAAATTTGAATAAACTATTAAACTTTCATTATGAAAATTTATACAAAAACGATATTCAACTTCTAATATGAGTCTTTATTGCAAAATAAGACTGATTTCTGCTTAATTTAATAAATTATTTTATAAAACAAAAGTTGATTACAACTTTGAAGGAATTATTTTAATTATTCCCTGCCTTTCAAAATCAGATATTTCTTTTTCAGAAAAATCCAAATCTTTTAAAATTACCTCTGTATCTTGTCCATTTTTTGGGAATGCTTCTTTACAATGCGTTTGAGCAGGTGTTCTGCTTAGTTTGGGGGCTGGCTGGGGTGCATAATTTTCCTCTACATCTTTTACAAACGTTTTATTTGTAACATTGTGATCATTTAGTGCTGCTTCTTTTATTGATAATACAGGAGTGACACAAGCATCTAATTTATCAAAAACTTCACACCATTCTTTCTGAGTTTTCTCTTTAAATATGTTGACTAATGTCTTTTTATTTTTCTTGAAGTCCCCAAACTGAGGCAATTCATCTTCATTCAAATTAAGGCCTTTGAGAAAATTGGAATAAAACTGGGGTTCAAGTGCTCCTACTGCCATATACTTTTGGTCCTTTGTTTCATAAGTTTCATAAAAGTGTGCCCCTGAGTCCAATATGTTTTCTCCTCTGTTGTTCCCCCACACTGGAAGGTGTTGTGATCTGTACACCCAACTATCTACATAAGCAGACCCTTGTACCATGCTGCTGTCTACCACTTGTCCCAAACCTGATGAATTTCTTTCAAACAAGGCCATTACTATTCCTAATGCACATAGTAAACCTCCTCCAGCAAAGTCAGCAGTAAAATTAAAAGGAATTGGTTTATCATTACTTCTACCAAAGAATGAAAGTAATCCTGCTAAACTAACATAGTTAATGTCATGTCCTGCTTTTAAACTCATGGAACCCTCCTGTCCATATCCTGTTAATCTGGCATATATTAGCTTTGAATTATCCTCAAGTAACACTGCTGGACCTAAGCCCAGTGATTCCATGACACCTCTTCGAAAGGGTTCTATTAACACATCCGACTTTTTGCACAATTTTCTGAAGATACTCTTGCCTTCTGCTGACTTTAGATTTAGTGCTAAAGATGATTTTCCATTGCAAAGACAATCTAATTCTGTCTCTGCATTAACCTTCAAAATCAATGGTACAAACAATATTAAAATTAAGGATTATAAAGACAAACCTTGTCTACACGCAGTACTGAGGCTCCAAAATCTGCTAAAATCATGCCACATAGAGGAGCTGGAGCTAAACCAGCCAATTCAACCACTTTAATTCCTCGTAAAGCCATTATTCTGTATCACATCCTCTTGTTTTTTATCCAAGACTAAAACAGATATTGCTGAATCATTGCACTAATTAAAAATATGGATACTTAATTGTAAAATGAAGGAAAAAATACCTACTTTTTAGGTTATGGTTTAAAACATTTATTCAATACCGAATATATTTCAAGATTTATAGATGAACACATTATTAATGTGCCTGATTATAAGCAGACATTAAAAAAATATTAAACTATTATCGATATTCTACTAATTAAATTATTTTCACTAAGAGTTGTATTTCATAAAAATATGGTTANTTTCAAATTACTATTCTCCTAGCTTTTATTAAAATTAAGAATAAAAATCGTCTGAAATAACCTTGAATCGTAGTTAAAGTGTCCTCAGCTGCAAAATGTTGTAGTTAAAGTGTCTTCACCAGTAAAATGCTGTAGGTATACTGTCCGCTACTCACTATTTCTTTGGTTCTGCTCTGTGCTACTTTTGAATTTATTACGGCTTGTTCATTCTACCTAAAATGGTAGTTCATATAAGCATCTCTTCATAAAGTGTTCATTGTATCTACAAGAAAAGCATAGAAAAGTCAATTAAACTACCAGTAAAAAGTGCATTTTGCTCATATTTTACAATTTTGCTAATTTTAAAAATTATCAGCTTTACCTTAAAATTTAAAAAAATAAGAAAACATTGAAAACGGTTGAGAAAAGATGTTTTAAAGGTAAAGTGTTAGATATTTGACTGTTTTTGTGCCGAAAATTTTTATTTAAGAGCTTTTACAGATAATCAAAAAAAATAAGTAGTCATAAAGGAATTCCCTGTATATCTTTCAAATTTAGTTAATATTAGCAAGTTTGCTTGTGGGGAATACTTTTAATAAAGTATATTTCTAGTTTCTTATGGATAATTTGAAAAAATGGATGTTATTTTTGATGTTATTAAACCTTCTGATTATAAGAACATGAAACTTTACATAAACTATGCATTTGGAGATACAAGATTTGGGGAATACTTAATTGGAATCTGTAATGGAAAAATATGTTTTTTAAATTTTTGTCCTCCTGGGTCACAAGAAACTTTAAAACAGAGTTTACAAGAAGCTTGGCCAGGGGCTATTTGTGAAGAAGATAAAACTGCCTTAAACTTTTTAGAATACATTTTTCAGGATACAGAAAAAAGATCTATTGATGTTTTGGTAAAGGGCACAAAACTACAAGTAGATGTGTGGCAGGAATTACTTAATATTAGTAGAGGAAAAACAATAACTTACAATGACTTGGCTGAAAGAGTGGGGAATCCCAGGGCTGTTAGAGCAGTGGCTAGTGCTGTTGGTAAAAATAAAATTGCTTATTTATTGCCATGTCATCGTGTAGTACATAAATCTGGCACACAAGTTAAATATGGATCAGGACCTGATTTAAAACTTAAAATTTTAGAATATGAAAAACAATTTCTTTAGCATAGTTGTTTGTGTTTAATTTAGATTCTACTTTGATATACTTTCTATAATTTCAATATTTAGAGTAGTAAATATTTTTTGGTAAATAATTGTTTTATTGAATTGAAAGTGGTTTAAAAAACAAGGAATTTCTAAAATTTGAATAAACTATTAAACTTTCATTATGAAAATTTATACAAAAACGATATTCAACTTCTAATATGAGTCTTTATTGCAAAATAAGACTGATTTCTGCTTAATTTAATAAATTATTTTATAAAACAAAAGTTGATTACAACTTTGAAGGAATTATTTTAATTATTCCCAGCCTTTCAAAATCAGATATTTCTTTTTCAGAAAAATCCAAATCTTTTAAAATTACCTCTGTATCTTGTCCATTTTTTGGGAATGCTTCTTTACAATGCGTTTGAGCAGGTGTTCTGCTTAGTTTGGGGGCTGGCTGGGGTGCATAATTTTCCTCTACATCTTTTACAAACGTTTTATTTGTAACATTGTGATCATTTAGTGCTGCTTCTTTTATTGATAATACAGGAGTGACACAAGCATCTAATTTATCAAAAACTTCACACCATTCTTTCTGAGTTTTCTCTTTAAATATGTTGACTAATGTCTTTTTATTTTTCTTGAAGTCCCCAAACTGAGGCAATTCATCTTCATTCAAATTAAGGCCTTTGAGAAAATTGGAATAAAACTGGGGTTCAAGTGCTCCTACTGCCATATACTTTTGGTCCTTTGTTTCATAAGTTTCATAAAAGTGTGCCCCTGAGTCCAATATGTTTTCTCCTCTGTTGTTCCCCCACACTGGAAGGTGTTGTGATCTGTACACCCAACTATCTACATAAGCAGACCCTTGTACCATGCTGCTGTCTACCACTTGTCCCAAACCTGATGAATTTCTTTCAAACAAGGCCATTACTATTCCTAATGCACATAGTAAACCTCCTCCAGCAAAGTCAGCAGTAAAATTAAAAGGAATTGGTTTATCATTACTTCTACCAAAGAATGAAAGTAATCCTGCTAAACTAACATAGTTAATGTCATGTCCTGCTTTTAAACTCATGGAACCCTCCTGTCCATATCCTGTTAATCTGGCATATATTAGCTTTGAATTATCCTCAAGTAACACTGCTGGACCTAAGCCCAGTGATTCCATGACACCTCTTCGAAAGGGTTCTATTAACACATCCGACTTTTTGCACAATTTTCTGAAGATACTCTTGCCTTCTGCTGACTTTAGATTTAGTGCTAAAGATGATTTTCCATTGCAAAGACAATCTAATTCTGTCTCTGCATTAACCTTCAAAATCAATGGTACAAACAATATTAAAATTAAGGATTATAAAGACAAACCTTGTCTACACGCAGTACTGAGGCTCCAAAATCTGCTAAAATCATGCCACATAGAGGAGCTGGAGCTAAACCAGCCAATTCAACCACTTTAATTCCTCGTAAAGCCATTATTCTGTATCACATCCTCTTGTTTTTTATCCAAGACTAAAACAGATATTGCTGAATCATTGCACTAATTAAAAATATGGATACTTAATTGTAAAATGAAGGAAAAAATACCTACTTTTTAGGTTATGGTTTAAAACATTTATTCAATACCGAATATATTTCAAGATTTATAGATGAACACATTATTAATGTGCCTGATTATAAGCAGACATTAAAAAAATATTAAACTATTATCGATATTCTACTAATTAAATTATTTTCACTAAGAGTTGTATTTCATAAAAATATGGTTATGTTCTATAGAAATGAGGTTATGATATATCAAAATAATGCACAGTAATATTATATAAATCCCCAAATTTATAATTAAAATGTAGTGTAGAGGATTACCCTGTTCATTTTCTTAGAGTTCAGTGTTGTAGATCCATCGAAATTGAAAAGTTACTTTTATGTAACCAAACTTTTGTCTTCTGCAGTGATGCCCCATCAGTACTCTTCAGCTCTTTCTCATTTAGCATTAGCAGGAACTACACTTTATTGCCTTAAGAATTACGGTCTGGATGGTGAAAATTTTAGTTATTGTCATGTTACATACTTGCTTGTTTTGAGCTATTCATGTATCGGAATTTGGAGATGGGGTAAGGCTTCTTTTACATAGTTTAACAGGAACTGTTAACAGAAAAAGTGTTTGCTTTCAGGAAACCCTGGCCATGGGATTGGAGCCATAAAACTGTATCATTTTGTGGCATTTTTACAATTGCTTTATACATTGCCTACATTTTCAACCGAAATGTGGTTAAAACATAGTAACTACAAGGATGTAGCTTACTTACATTGCGTTTTACCTTTGGTACCGCTTCTTTTACGTTTGTGGAAAAAGAATCTAAGCAATGTCTTAATTTTAACAAATAATATTGCGAGCTGTTTGTCACTTGCCATACTTTCTTTTGTTTTCAACAATTATTGGGGCCTAACAGCTGCTGTCTCGTATTTTTTAGCATTTTTTATAATCAAGGAGAGACTACAAGATATCGAGATCCCAACACAAGACCTCTTTAACTATGGCCTTTCGTTTTTCATGTATTTTACACTTTGTGCTTTACAGTAATGTCAAATATTGATGAAAAAATGTAAAAATGAATTGTTATTATATATGAATGCATATCATGCTCCATGCTGTGTGTCCTGTTGATGAATATAAGTACATATATATTTTTATATTACAGCTGTACACGCAATCACGTTTTTATGAACTATATTGTAGAGTCAAATATATAATATATGTTTGTACATTATATTTATATGATAAAAATATTTATTTTCTGTTTGCTGTTATACGTATAACGTAGTAAATGTAGTCTTAATATATACAAATATATTATAAAAAGAAGGCACGGTGTTTATGTCCCTTTCCCAACTTTTTTGTTTATGTATGTATATTTATAAAATATAAATCATAATAAAATAATGATCATCAGTAAAGGTTTGTCAATTAACTGAATTAAAATTTTAGGGGTAATTTAAAAGACTTGTAAGTGTGTTAAACAGCAGTGCACAAAATTATATGAAAAGTAATGATTATACTTAAGATAAACAATTTTGAATTACTACATAAATTTCTGAAATACCCAGAATCTCGAAGAAAATTACTTTTGAAGCATTTAAAAAGTAAAAAATAGTGAAATTATACCAAAAGCAAAATTGTGGACAGTTTAAAAATTGTTATAATGCTTTTCGGGGTAAAGGCGTAAGAAAGAATGTCCTATTATATTTCGCATCGTAAAAGCGCTCGTAAGATTATTAGGAGATGGAATGTATTTACTAAGTTTTGAGAAGTTACACTTATGTTAAAAAGTACGTAGAATCTCATGGTGCTAATAGTTTTTAACTGTGGTATGAAATAAGCACTTTCTGGCATTTAATCTAAAATACATTAAATAATTCAAATATGAAAATGCGCTCGTAATAATATTGGGAAATGGAAGGTATTTAGTAAGCTTTGAAAAGAGATAATAATGTAAAAAAGTGTGTGGTATCTCATGATTCTAACAGTTTGCAAGTACGGTATCCTCAGGTATTATTTTTGGTGAAATATATAAAATAATTCAAACATAAAAAAGCGCTCGTGAAATTATTAGTAGATAGAAGGCATTCAGTAAGTTTTTACAAGTGATAATTATGTAAAAAGATACGTAGAATCTCATGGTGTTCACGGTTCTTAAGTACAGTGTGAAATAGGCACATTCCGACTATTTTCTTGCTAAAATACATCAGATAATTTAAACATAAAAAAGCGCTCGTAAGATTATTGAAATGTGGAAGGTATTTAATAATTTTTCAGAAGTGATAATTATGTAAAAAGGTACGTAGAATCTCATGATGCTAACGGTTTTTTACAGTGCGGTGTGAAATAGGTACCCTTAGGTATTATTTTTGACATAAAAAAGCGCTCGTGAAATTATTCGTGAATAGAAGGCATTTAGTAATATTTCAGAAGTGATAATTATGTAAAAAGGTACGTAGAATCTCATGGTGTTCACGGTTCTTAAGTACAGTGTGAAATAGGCACATTCCGATTTTCTTGCTAAAATACATCAAATAATTTAAACATAATAAAGCGCTCGTGAAATTATTCGTGAATAGAAGGCATTTAGTAATATTTCAGAAGTGATAATTATGTAAAAAAGTACGTAGAATCTCATGGTCTTAAAAAATGCCCCATATTTATTTTTAAGTAGACAGTTCTGATAGGGCCCTGAAGCTGTAACTTCCCTTAATACACAGGGGAAAATTTGAAATACGATAACTCTATATTCATACTAAGATTTTCTGTAGGTATATGCCCGTGTTCATTGTGTAAAAGATACAATACATTATGCATTCTTTTATTTATTCATTCAATAGAACCCCTCTTGAAATGAAAGCCCTTATTGGTGCTAGTATTCAATTATGAAAATATATGAGCACCAATGACAAACAACATGGGGTTGCATGCTACCCCATGTTAAACTTAGATATAGTAGAAGCACTAGCATTGATTTAATTTTTTTCGAAATATTAGTTATTAATACCTAACTCATAGGAAAACAAATTTATTCTTGACTAAAATATTTAAATTCATTCCGTTGTCAATTATGCAGTATATTAGGTATCTTTGTTTAGTTTTGTTAATCAGATTATTTTATCTTTAAAAGTTTTGTTATTATTTTTGGTATTTTTTGAAGTAGGTATCTAATGTTTATGCCTTTCGACTGTTTACTTCTACAACAAATTTTATTGGTACAATTTGTTGCAGAAGGTAGGTAGGTACCTTTTATTGGTACTATTTACTTGACCTTCTTACAAAAGATCAGGCAAAGTTCCTTTTAATTTTGAATTTATTAGCTTTGAAAGTAGGTTTGGTAGGTAGCAAAATGTATTTTATTGGGCCTTTCGAAAATTCCATAAAATTGGGTAGGTTACCTGAACTAAAATTGCCTTTATAAACTTGCATTGTATTCGGCATAAAAGAAAGTGAAGGCAATAAAAGTCGGCAGTTAAATAAACGAACATATTAAGCCCAAATTTTGGAATGTTTTTGGTTTAACTTCTACGAAAGTAAACCAAATTTTGAATTCTACACGTGAAAAATGGGGTAATAGATGTTTGATATTTGTTAGAAATGGAATAGTTATTTAAAAGCTATAGAAAAAACATCATTGAAGGTAATTGTCTTTGAATCTTTGAGGTCCTATATCTTTCAGCTTACCGATGTACTTTCTACTAGCTATACTTTTAATAAAATATAAGACGGGAAATTCTAGAAATAGAAGAATTCCTTTATTTTTTTTAATTATACGAAAGTGTGAAATCGTAAAATTAATGTACATTGTAAGTAAAAGCACAAAAACACTATTAAATATACATATCTATATCTAAACAATATTTATTGTTTAACCCTAGTAGATAATTTGTTAACTAAACGAATGCGAAATTAAATATATATCTAATATGCTTTATGTGACGCGCATCATAAACAACACCAGTTCCAGTAGGTAATTAGTTTTTGCTCTGTGATCCTATTTATATTGGCCAAACTGATCGATCCTTAGAAATACGATTTAAAGAACACATAGCTGTTTATAAAAAATAAAACAGACGCTACAGGTTTAAGGGAAGACTGTTTAAATGAAAATCGTAAAATACATATAAATGATAATCAATTTAAATTTCTTCGGTATTGACCTAACGTGAATGAAAAACTAACTTTGCTTGAAATTGTAGAAATAAAAAAGGCTTAGGTACTCAAACAAGTATTGTATTGATAACCAAAAAGAACAGTTTTCTCAATATCACACAAATTTTAAATTTGTTATCCTTATACTTAGGAATTCTAAAAAGTAGATATATGTATTTAAAGCTGTAATCGCCGCACTGAACTTACAATTAGTGTCGTTGTAATTTTGATGATGACTTCTTCGTATATTTATACTTGTGTTTGTAATTTTGTTTATTAAAATATGCTTCATCAACTCTGCACAGTGAAAACTTATAAGAAAACGGGAAAATCCGGTGAAAGTTCCACCAGAAGGATTATAACGTCGCATTTTAAATGCTCAAGGAGCTTTTTAAGCCAAAAACTATAACCGAAATCGTTTTTCCGAAAAAGCATTCCCAAGGGTCCCTTAATAAAAAATTTAAAGTTCCTGAAAGCCATCTGCACTCTTCACAGGCAGATGCCAAAAATAATAGGATAACAAGGATAATCTGATACTTATGCCGCCCAAAGACCAAACAGACTTCGGCATAGGACAGGATGTTAAGCTGAAAAGCTCCAGTGAATGTTCCATTGGTTCGTTCTAAATAAAGGCTCCGCCTTTTGCAGGGCTGCACCAAGGGGGCCCCCTTCTTTTACTGAATGAGTCTTTCAAAAATGTTTCAGCATCCAACTTCAGTGATCAGTATCGCTTTGTATACACTGTGCGAAACAAGCGGATTGAGACAGTTGCGGTGTGAAAATTAACGCGTCTGCGATAGTTCCGCGAAAGAGAAGAAAATTCCGAAAAAGCGGTGGAAAACTGAACTTACAGTGTTATGCATTCAATGAACGATCCCACGTCGGCACTTGCAGGGATGTTACCGTTCGATTCCATCGGTATTTACGAACAACCGAAACCCCGGTTCATTTTCAAAATGCCCAGGGTCGTACCTGATCAAAAAGCCAAATTTGAGTCGGACGAACTCTTTAGGAGACTTAGCAGAGAAAGCGAGGTAAACTTGGGAAAACTTTTCATATTTTTTTAAATATTTCAAAAAATCAGTAAATTTTTTCTCTAATTTGATAGGGCATTTTGTACAATCAAGTATAATATTAAACAAATTTATTATCTAATAGGCATAAGTTTCTTTGTTTCATATTTCAAAGAAAATTATACCATCTCATTCATATCTATTTTTACTTTATAATATACTTGTCTTAACAAAAACAAAATATGTATGTTTACTTAATGGTAGTTATCATGTAGGTACATTTTCATAAATAATTTTGTATTTCTCAAAAAGCCACCTACCAATTGCCATGGGCAATTTTTATCATAAATTACGTTTATTAATTAAAAATTTAATATATAGAAAGTTAGTGTAGTATCTAATTATAAAATAAATTAATTTAATTGTGTGTAAAATAATAGTTTGTGTAAAAATAATTTTATACCTATTTCACAGAAAAACCAAAGTACGTATCACTAAAAACATCTTTCCGAAGTTTTCTTTTTGATCTTTAATTAATTTGGTTCATCAATTGAATTAGTAATGGAAATTCAGTGAAGCAATCAAAATAAATTGTATTAGGCGTAGAAATTTGTTTATTGGTCTTTATTGTAGATATCAATTTAAAACTTTCACAAATATCGCACACAGAAACAATAAAACCGTTTTATATTGCATCTTCTATTGCTTATTTATTAAAAAAAAAGTGTTGGATGTAGATATCGTACATCTGATTTTGTTATTACGAGTCGTGCTGACGGTAAAAAAGAATGCACTTGTTATGTCCGGTGTTAGTCATCATCGTCGCAAAAAGCTGGTTAGTCTCAATTCTCGGAATTCCTTTTAGCTCATCAGATTTCCCACAAAACGAATCGACATTGTAATTATTGCTCGCGAACAAATACTGACTTGAATACCTAATTGCATTTTTACGGGACAATTACGTATTGATACTGGCGATGCATGTTGAAGTTGTATTTGTATTTGCTTTCGTTTTAAACTATACTGGGTGAACTAATACTAAATAAGAGAAAATAAAAGACGAATTTGCTATAATACAGGCGTGTTTTTCTGGACAGATGCTTTTTGCTTTGGATCTAAAGGTCATCGTCGGTTTCTTCGGAGGTTCTTCCATCTCCGATGCTGGATTGTGGACCTCTGAAGAAGCTCGCCCCTCGTTCTAGCGAAACGTTAGGTTTATTAACTTTGTTGAATTTGGTCTGAAGAAGCTCGCCTTTCGTGCTAGCGAAACGTTAGCTTTATTAACTTTGGTGAGTTTGGTCTGAAGAAGCTCGCCATTCGTGCTAGCAAAACGTTAACTTTATTAACTTTGCTGAGTTTGGTCTGAAGAAGCTCGCCATTCGTGCTAGAGAAACGTTAGCTTTATTAACTTTGCTGAGTTTGGTCTGAAGAAGCTCGCCATTCGTGCTAGAGAAACGTTAGCTTTATTAACTTTGCTGAGTTTGGTCTGAAGAAGCTCGCCATTCGTGCTAGCGAAACGTTAGCTTTATTAACTTTGCTGAATTTAGTCTGAAGTAGTTGTACCTAATTACAATCTTTTTGTGAAGAATTGAATTCTTTACAAAATTGTCCCACAAGCGTCAACTTTACGAACTCAAGTAGCTTTTGATATATAGATAAAAAAGTATTTGTTAGAAAATAGATTTGTTTTTTGTTTCAGGTCCGCTACACGGGTTATAGAGACAGGCCGCAGGAGGAGAGGCAAGGACGATTTTTAAACGCCTGTCGGGAAGGACATACCGAAATAGCGTTTGTTGCAACCGGCACAAATTTACAATTAGTTTTTGCACCTCCCAGCAACAGTTACATGCAAAATAAAGAATGCGACTTCGACAAAGAACAAGGAAAGGTAGGTAAAGATATTGTTAAAGTTGTAAAGCAATTTGGGGCAGATATTGTAGATCTTTTCGCTAGAACATTTTGATCCTAGTTGCTTAAATAGCCTAAAATTAAATTTAGGTGATAACTATATCCCTCTTGATGTTGTTAAATTAGATTCATTGTCATTCTGATGTGCTTGATGGTTTGATATTATGATTTCGCCAAAGCTTTTGATACTATTGACCACTCACACCTTTCTAATCTTGGCCGAAAATTTGAAGTTGTTTACTTCAAAAAATAGTAATTCAGATAATATAATATAATATTGATAATTCTTTGTTACTAGAATAACTGAGATATTTGATCTAGGAATAATTTTTGAGTAATCTTTTTGTTTTAACAAGCATGCCGAATTGGTCAATTCTAAAGCTTAAAGAAGCATCAAGTGCAACATAGAAAAAGTCCAGCATATATTTTTAAGATCATTCAAACTGTGTATGTCCATTTTCTACACTGATCATAATTATTCAGGATTTGGCAGGAAAATCAATTTTATATGATTTATAATGATTTTACTTTTACATTCAATATTATTTCAGAAAGCATAGATGAATTATTTTCATTTAGACAGACTACGATCTTTACGAAAACTCAAATAATCGTGATTGAATTAAACGTTAAATATTAAATTATTTCATTCTTGCATTCATTGACTTGGAAGGCACTTACGAAAAATACCGCTTAGTTTGAAAAACTTCTGGTCTCTATTTCAAAAAAAAAAAAAGATAGTACGAAGTAGGTATTCAATCTCCAAATAGAGTGGTAACAAAGTAGAAATGATAGATTGTAAAACTTGGGTCTTTTTCCCAGTTGATTTATTATAATTCCCGATTATTTAGGTCCAACATAATACTAAGCGTATCTAAACTGCCCTCTTGCCTAATGACAGGCTTGCCTAATTGTGATTGCGTCCACCCAAATCTCGTGAAGTTTTCACCGTGAAATTGTTGGTACACAAGGCACCAGGTGCCTGAAGTTTCTCAAATTGCTCGTTTTGTTGCTTGTAACAGACACGATTATTTCAAAAGATTACCGTAATGCTTACTGACAACATTATATCTATTTAGATTTAGGTATACATATATACAATACTGAATAGCTTGTTGAAAGAGATAGAGAGAAAGACACAGCAAATTTACCATGAAATTCGGACGTTTTGCTATTAAATTTACCAACGTAACCAAGTACCTTTCAGATAAATAAAAAAGTACAAAGTAAAGCAGTGAAAGAAAAATGAATTGTCCTGTTTAAAGGATTTTATTTTAACATAAGCTCTTAGTAGCATTATTATTATCCTGCTGGTTCTTTGTATTTGTAGAGATTCGATAGACAGGCTTTTGGTAGTCTAATTTTTGCGCATGCATTCAATGTTATTTCAAAATGGCGTTTATACGATCAATAAAAGCGCCGCGACGCTATTGGGCGTCGGTTTGAGCGTCGTCCTCCGCCATGATGTCTTCTAATACATACATCATCCTTTTATTGCTTGCTTTTTAGTTAAATACTTTATGAAAGATTAAAACTAAAATCTGCTTTTCGAAATAAAAAAACAACAAAATCGTTATAAAATATTTACCTACATACGTAAAGCTTTTAATTGTTTATTAATTTAAATATCAAAGAATTATGTATAATGGGACAATGGGAATTTTGAGAACAACTTAGGAAATGAACAAAACCAAGAACAGGAATAGATAAAAATATATTCTTTTGTAATTTTGTAGTATGATTAATTGTATTTATGCACTATTGAAATAGCTTTAACAGCTTTTCGATAAAATTATAAATAAATACAAACGTAAAATCATGTGATATCATGTATTAGGATTCCTATTTCAAATAAAGTAAATATACATATTTTTGAATTATTTGAATATTTTTTGAAGGGAAAATTAAATGGTAGTTTTCATTTTTTGTGTTTGGGCGTTAAAGCCAAGCGTTGGGGTGTATTTACGACAAACCATTTCCGCCCTATTAGGGTAATTACCTTAACAAACCGGAAGGGTACGTTTTCTAGAAGATTTAAGGCAATTAAATGTTGTCTACCTAAAGGTATAAAATTAAGTATAGCATGTTATTGCTCGGAGGTAAACAGTTTCAATGGACACGGTAATTTACCTAACCAATTAAATAGGTACAAAAGGCACGCGCCCATAAAACCTTAAAGGACCATCCGACGGACCATCATGGGCTGGACATATGGTCTTCGCGTGTTTTTTTTCCTCACGCAATAACAATTATTATTATTTCTCTTGTTTTTGTTCCTATTAAGTATATAAGTTTTAAGGAAGAAGAATTTCGAAAACAAATCGGGCAATAACGAGTTTAAAAAACACCTCATAGTTCCTCATTGTCCAACGACGCATTGCACATCTTCTTTAGGTTTTTTTTTGAAAGTTTTACTCGACTTCATCAAGGGATTTAAAAAATATTTGCCAGAAACGAAACAGTTTTCGTTTGCAAACTCCTTTCACAAAATAATATGTTTGGAGTTGGTCGACTACTAAAACGTTCAATTAAATGATCCAATTATGCCTTTCGATATCTGGGGTTTAACGTTTAATCAGAACCTTTAATCAAAAGGCAGCGACTTGACGTATGTTAAGCACACTAACAAACAATTTGGAAAAAAAGTGGATGGGTCGACATTCGGGTGTATACATGGTTGCATGTGTATACAAAATTACAGTTTAAGTTAAACGGTGTGGTGGATTTTTACTACAATTGATTAGATATTCTTTCACTCATTGAAAAAACTGATTATTAGTGTAGGTACCAACTAAAAGCGACGACGAAAACAAAAAGAAGCTTATGAAGGGAAGGGAGTGCTTTTAAGAAGTAGGCGATTTTAATTTATGACTCGGGACAGCCCTTTTGTCGCCAGTTGTAGAACGAGGCTTTCTAGAACGAACTAATTTATTTTTAAGGCAAACGTAAATCACTCGGAGTTGTATTGTTCTTGAGACATGGCTTTCGCTCGGACCCGTGTTGGGAAAAGCGGATGAGAGATTAGCACTTCGTTTTAGAGACGGAAGTTTTGAGAGAGAGAATGAAGACAGAATTAAGTTTCTGTTAAAGGCGCAATTTTCACGCTCTCCCTTTAAAGAAAGATTTGAAACTTTTCTTTAAAGGCATATATTTCATTTTAGAATGTTTTAAGGATTCATTGACGAGCGCCGTTTTTGTACCAGTTTAATGATTTTTTACCACGTCATTTAACTTTTATTAATCTTATTGTTAGTTTAGTCTCTAACGAAGGACGACACTTTAGCAATCGAAATACATTGCACTATTAATTTTTATAATGAATATGTATTTTAATGTGCATATGCAACCTACGATGCGTACGAATGTAGACATTTAGACCCGCCTATTTTTTCCCAATTGTTTCAAATACACCGAAATTGATGTGATATTTCTTTCGTTTCGTCCATGATTAAACAGATGAATAAACTAACATTGTTTCATAAAATACCGAGCAATGATTCGATTAAACTATTATTAAAATTTCATGCTAAATATTTGCCAATAATGCATATTTCACAATGGCGAATTATAATATTGAATAAGCCAATTAAGTCGTATCAAATCATGCGACAATATAGTTAACAATCTGTTGAAATAATACGGTAGATAGTAATACAACGGCCTGTTGCATCAAGCATGATTGGTTATCGATTAAAATCAATTTTCTCGAAAAGTATATCAGGGCTAGGTGCTTATAGATTTAAGAAGGAATCGATCAGGCGAAAACATAGAAAACCACCGTTTCAAATTGATTACGGAACTACGAAAGCTTAATAAAATCATGCATCACTGACGTTGTACACAGCGCACTAGATAAAGAGAAAAATCGATTTCGTTTTTTGTCATCGCAATACGGCCAACCTGGACCACTTATTAACTCACACACAGACGCCCTTTATTTTATAATTAAATTTTAGTCTGCTTTATTTAATCATTATGATTCAGTTTTTTGGATTGCAAAATAACTAACATGTACAAAGTAGATCTAGCTATACGTTCAATAATTATTATTTGTTTTTTATTTTCCGTTGTTTAACATACACTAATTAACGGCACGTACGCCACCCCTGATCTCGTGAATTGTCACCCCCGCAAGGCCCACTGCGAAAGAACGTGAAGCTCATTGCTCTAACGCGACACGACGCCTGTATACGCGCGGACAAAAAACAAAAACACCTATTATGTCATTAGAAAACAAAAGGCGGCCTGGCGTCTGTTTGTTTTCAAGTCTCTCTCTTCTTTTATAAATGCCTGGCGTGTGCTAGTTAGCGCGGGCCCGTCGTTTGCGTCTATTTTCCCGTCAATTAAAAACACAGTCTTTTAAATATCTACATATTACCTACGCGAACGGTCCATTCATTCATTTATTCATTCGTTCGTTCGTTTGTCTGAATAATAATTCGTTTGTTTCCGAAGGACACGCGACTCACGATGTGACGCCTTTTGTTGCGCCTTGGCGTGAGATATTTTCTAGGACCGGCGTCGAGCGATCGTTTTGAAAACCGACGATTTTTACTCATTTCTAATGTAAACAAGGTCAAATAGTGAAAAAGTTTCCAAATTATTTCCCACATCTTGTAAATTTGATTTTCCCCGGCGCCGCCACCAAAACTGTCCCATACACTGGAACATAAGGGTTGTTCGGAAAGTCATTTCGTTTTTTTCTGTGGAAATGAAAGACAGTTTTCGTATAATAAACAAATACTTTATTCAATTATATATTGACCGTTCTGGTCCAACACCTTTTGCCATCTTTCTGGTAGTAGCATAATTCCACGCTCATAAAATTTTTGGTCTTTGCTAGCAAAAAACTGATCGAGGAGGTTTTTGACCTCCTCATTTGAGGTGAAGGTTTTACCGTCTAAAACATTTTGGAGTGACCGGAACAAATAATAGTCCGATGGTGCCAGGTCTGGAGAATATGGTGGGTGTAGCATTCTA